CCCCCCATACACAACCAATAGAAGAGTAAACACGTAACCCCCATCCCACCATAACTAATTAAACTTTAGGGAGTGAAAGTGTAGAAAGCGTGCCATTTTATCCGTTCGACAGTTCTGCATCAGGCTAACTTAAGAGATCAAGATCAAAAGTAGTAAAATCCATGTAGAGCACAACATTGTTAAGTCCTCTGAAGGTAGGATTGATATGATAAAAACGAAGCTTTTGGAAAGATGAGATCCTCTATTTTCAACCAATCGCTGAAAACATTTTCCAAGATATCGCTCCACACACTTAGCACTACCCATGGAAAAATCCTTTGAAATTGTACATACAGTACACAGCACAGTGTATGCAAAGTTAAAAGTATATTAATGTTGACTTAAGTTCAAGCTGTGTACTAGCAGTTTGACGTGTTCTTTGAAATATTTGCTTTATTAAAGGATTAAAATTGATGAAAATGTATGGCATTTTCTTTTTTTTTATGAATCTGCATACACAGCACTTAAAGGTAGAGGCAGAACTCAACTTCTCAACTTCCTTATGCTATATTTTCAGGTCGCTGTCTTTAAAACAGAGCACATTATCTCCTGACTATCACCTTAAAATTGACTTAAGAAAACTAAGCATGGCCCATTTTTGTATTGTCCTATAGATTTCATTCATGTGTTTGTACAAAATCTCTAAACAGTTGTATACTGTAACAACTCTGATGTTTTAGTTACTGTCTTGGCAGAGCCTTTGAACGTATGGTTGCTTTTCTGCAATTACACAATGCTGGAGTCTTGGACTATTTACGGCATCACAAAAAAATGCAACCTTTTTGCAGTGTATAAATCCATAAATGATGCATATTGTGAGGGATAACTCATTGCAAATTTAAAACCTAGTGCAGTTTGATCTACAAACTGTAACTTAAACATTTATAACTTGTGCCTTTAAAGTTACAATTTTTGTAGCAAATTTCCAGTTTTAAATAAGCTGGCTCTTAATATCTCTTTCATCAACCAGGAAGCAAAACATTCAAAGAAAATTGAAATGAGTAGTCTCTGTTTCTTTCAATGATAAGGACGTTTTTTTATCAGCTGAGGAAAGGAGAAAGGAAGGGGTGTTCAGTTCTTTAGACATGAATCAGTCTTGAAGTAAATGATATTTCAGTAACATGAATGCACTTATATTTTCCCTAAATTTATATTATAAAAAATACTGAGGGGGGGATATTCCATTCAATAAAAATAAATTTGCTTTTCATTTATATTTCATCTTTATAGTGAATAAGCAGAGCAGACAGTAAGAGTTAAACAGAGACAGCTTGATGTTTTGCTTCCTGGACAAGGTGGAGCACTGCTCTCTAAAAGAAGACCCTGTAGGCACCACGAGTGTGCCGTGAGCCAGCAGTCCAGTAGGGGATTTACCTCACAGTCAGATTTTCTGCTGGGTGGGGTCATGCCCCGAACTCTCTCCAGAAGCTGCAGATGGCCGATGTATCTGAAACCCATTGGAGGCGGGAACCAGGCATCTTGCTGCCCGAAATTCACCTTGAATCTATGGAGGATGGAAGGATGATAAGCACACAAACAAAATGGTACAAGCAACTGTGACACTGTCACCACTACAAGCAACAGGGCCCGATGAGGGTTGTGGAGGGTGGTAGAAGGTTATAACCAAGATCTGCAGCATTATCCACAACAGCTGTCCACCGTCGTCATGGAAAAAAACCCACCAAAATGAAAAAAACAAACAAATGCTGAAAACACTAGCACAGCAGTTATAGAAACAGAAGCTTAAAAAAGCTGAATATGCATTGAAGTAAGTGATGGGGACAAGTGGGAGAAGGGCAGAAAAAATTCCACACATTCCAAAGATGCAAAGAAAATTTCAAAACCTTTCCAGGATTGAGTACTGATTTACAGAGATCGTTTCTATTTACTGAAAGTTATGTAAAGTAATAAAAAAATTTTTTGTTTCTGCTTTGAGTGTAAACGAAAACTCATTGATGTTGCAAGCCTTATCCACTTACATTTGTTGTTTCTGCTGAGATTCAGCAAACACATACACAAAGAAAAAGGACAACAGTGAAACATTGTAGTAAATAGAACATCAATGTTTTGACACTTGAAGACAATCCCCTATACAATATAAAAAGGGCATGTACCAATTGTGTAAAAATCTCTCTTGTTAACCATAATAGCATGCTTCTCAGAAAAATAAAAGTACAAAGGTAATAACTTTACACAGTTTTGGAAAGAAATGCAAAAAGACATTAGTGCTGATGAGTGAGGAAGTTTGCCAAGAACTCTCGCAAGACAGTATGATTACTAATTGCAAATAATACAGGAAATACACAGAAGAAAACAGACACACTGCAGTGTCTGTCACTCCATTTCTACATCTGTGAGCAACAAAGTACATAAAAACTTGTAAACACATTTACAGTTGTTAAAATGCATGACGATCCGAGAATACACTGCATTGACGTCCACTGGATAGCAAGTTTGTTTGAGTTAAATACCATAAATGGAAATATACAACAAGTAGTGGTTCTCATAGTAAGAAAGCAAATATCATGCAAAATCAGCATCCCCAAAACACCCCTTGACAAACAATAAAACAAACGCAGATCCAATTATTTTTCTGAGGTGAGGAAAATAAAAATACGACAGTGAAGACATTAATAAATCTGATCCAGTCTTTGAAGAGTAGGCCACAAGAAAATTTCTCAGAAAATGATAATTGGCTGATTGTTCAGTTTGTCTTATGAACAATCATTAACAACCACAATCCAGGTCACTTTTGTTTATGCCATGTAAAAGGAGTAGTGACTTCTGAGTCAGAAAGCTGCAACATCTCCGCCTCTAATTTTTTTTTTGGGGATGAGGGTATTTATTTTGGAATGTGCTCATTAAGCAAATTTAAAACAATTGTTTGCCTGTTATTTTCTGAAAATATTTAGGAAAGCAGCGTATGCCTAAAATGTTTGTAGACAGAAATGGCATTAAAGAATGAAAACTTTAATAGAACACCCGGACTATGGAATACATGTATAAATATATTGTATGTGACAATCTAATTGAAACTGTCTTTTAATAAATAAACGAGGATCATATGATAAACACAAAATGCTCATAAAAAATTAAATGACTTGGATAACAAAAAGAGGCATTTCAAGTCTCTAGCCAGAGAAATTAGTATTGCCGACCTGTTAAGTATTTTCATTTTTGCCATGAACCTGACCTAAAATTACAAGGAATGGGTCTGATTAAAATCCATTTTCAGTGAATGTAAGTTTAAAGTTGCATGGAATTGATCCAGAGGAACGGATTTGTTTATCCTGATTGGCAGTTGACTGATCTTCCACTCTATTTATTCTCCTTCAGTTAAAATGGACACAAACAAAAAATGTCATAGCTGTAGTGCTGTTTCAAAATGTGCGAATAGAATTTTATTCTTTAAAAAACCCAACAAACAACAACAATCCTTTCCGAAGGTCTTTGAAGATATAAGAGCGTTCATGAATAAAATGCTGACCAATAATTAAACCCTTAAAATCAAAACACCAAAATAGCTTGCCTTGCACCTAATTTCAGTCAAGATGGAAGCAAATTTTTTTTAAAATGTTGTCATGTCATGTTCCAACACTGACAGCATTATTCCAAAACTGACAGTATTATTAACAAGTACCTTGTGCATTAAATATATTCTTCAGGAAGAGAGGTATGAACAGCGTTAGACAGACAAGGAAGAGAGAAGTCCTAAGAACCACTACAAAATAATAACATAAATAGTTATTATCATCCAAAGAAGATACAAACGCTGATTTAAAAAGTTAACGACTACTTAAAAACATATATGTACAGCTTCCGAGTTGAAGACATACACATGTATCATGGATGACGACATTCCTAAATGCACACAGCTTTCAACAATCATACCAAAGCACTGTGGCTCATTCACTGAACTTAAGATATGCCAGTGACACCATTGACTGAGTAACACCACAGAGACCATAAGGATGTCAAAGAAATCCTTTCAATAATCATCTGTTAGTGTTAGTAATGAGCAAAAGATGCATAAAATGTCACTTCCAACTAGTCATTGAATCCTGGTAAGATTTCCCCACAAACAGCAACCTAATAAGCTCGGGTAAAAACTTTGAAAGCAAATGTCGATTGTCATTAAACTGAACTATTTGAGCAAGCAATTAATGGAAAAATAAAGACGTAAAAACTAGGATGAATTCCTTAAATCAGAAAATATCCCACTTGCTGTAATAATCACAGCAAAAATTTTTTTTTTTTAATAAAAAAAAAAAAATGTAGCCACACCCCATCCTTTTGTGGTCCCATTTCTTCTAAATAATGTCAAGAACGCACATGTGATACACAGTAAGTATTACATAGCATACTTGACAGTACACTTCCAAAACAATAACAACATTCAGTCAGGTGTCAATTAGAACTTGTCTAAAAATTAGAACTTGTTCATATTAGTTAAAAAGGAACAGAATAAATAGTATAAACATTGAAAATTACTTTTAAGAGTCCATTTCTCAACAAATTTGATGCCGAAAATTTAGATTATAAGGGAACAAAAGAAAAAGAACCAACACTAAATCAAACTTCTGAGAGCCAATTCCTCTATGAACTAAATGCTACTGAGAGGTGATATCACAAATAAATTAATGGTCTTGAAAATTATTACTCATAACCATATAAATGAAAACGGTTCTTTTGACTTTGCCACTCCATTGTATGAAGCCGTCTAGGAGATCTGATGGAAAAGACTTTATGCTTTAAAATCTTAATTTAAAATTCAACACAAGACACAGAGAAAGACATTAAATATACTTTGTACAAGGGTGGAAGAAAATATTTCTAGTTTCCAACAGGAACATTCATTAATTATTCCAATTGCAACAGTTCGTAATATATAATGATTTCAGCCGTTGTAATGAGTTTATATTGAAGAAACAAATAAGAAAATATAATTCATTTTTTTCTGAGTATCTTCATCCTTCTGCTGCTGTAGCATAAGGGTCCCAAAAGAACTGGAGGTGTATGTGGAAGGTAAGGAGAACTAAAAAAACAAAATTTATATCGGCCACATCTTAAATAAATACTTGTTTTCCTAACAAAGGGACCCTATCCATAGCTACCAACTTTTCACCCCCCCCCCCCCCCCCCCAAAAAAAAAACAACAACAAAAAACCCAACCCCCCCAAAAAAACTACATGGCAGCTCAAGGTAGAGGGCATTGGTCAAGTACACCCCCCCCCCCCCCATTCGCACATATTTATTTGCGTTCTATAAATTTATGCTCCATAGATTACTTTAGAAAGGAACAATTCCAATAGATTTAAGGGCTTCATTTTCATTATTAGAAAGTTCATAACTTCTCTTTAACATTGGCAAACCTCTGAGGAGCAATACTATAAAAAAGAAAATACATATTTTTCCACAAAAAGATGGGACTTCCGTACTCAGACCCCCCCAAAATATAGTAAATATGTTTTTTACAAAGTGATTGGAAGCTAATACTTCATACAGCGATAAAAACATAAATCAAGTGTAAAATTTGAAGCCCTGAATTAATCTTCAACTGTGACAAAGTCTGTGGGAAATACTAAGTAAAATGCTCTCAACCATCACATGTTCATCAAAAGTTTGTCCAGCAAAGCAAACCTATGCTAACAGTACATCATCTTGTCCTTGTTACAAAGAAAGCCTACAATGAATAACATCAACTGCACCCAGGAAACAATTACTTACATTTTTTAGATTCAGATTTTGCACTTTCCCCTTCCATTGAAAAAAATGTCAAAAGACAAACCCCCCTCATATAAATTTTAAAGAACAACCCAAAAACCCACACAACAAAACAGCTAGATCTATCAACAACATCACCCGGCCGCCTCAATTTAAAACATTTTTCGCCAAAAATGTTCAGACCACAGCATCCGAGACAAGCATCTTCAACCATTACAACAAAGAGCCATGACTTACATCGCACTTTACAATGAAGATGATGCTTTGAACATTCTTGTTGAACAACATGCACAACAATGTTAAGTGAGTTCTTTGTTCTGTCTTACTAGAGAGGCATGAGTATGGATGAGAAGGAGTTCCATTATTGCGACAACATCAATGGCAGAAATTTAAACTTGAAATAAAATATATGAAAATCCAAAACACAGTGGAAAAGACAGACAAAGTTAATATGAAGCTTTCAAGTAAAAAAAAAAAGGAGACAAAAGATAGTAGTATTTCAAACAGAGGAACAAATTAGAAATAAAAAAGAAACCCCACAGCCATCATTCTTGACTTGATCCGATGAAGAAGTGAAGGCATTAAAGAAAACAAATACATACAAAGACCCCACCCACTTTTAGTAGAGAACATATCATTCATTCATACAACACAGCATAATAATACAACAAGTACACAAGTAGAAAGTAGTACTCATATAGTAACACCACAAGTATTAAGACAAGGATTTTAATGTCCCCACAGCTCAAAAATGAACTAATTTGGAGTCAAAGATGAGCACATCAATGGAATAAACTGCAACATTTGAGAGTCAAAAAGTGATATAGAAGAAGAGAGAAAAGTGTCTACGAGCTTATATGAACTTGTGAGTCTGTTATTGATTTCAGTGATTATTAGAGTCCTTTAAAAAGGTGCCTTAGGACAACGCAGTGCCCAGACTTTCAGCTTCATAATGAAACAAGCTTTGCAATTAAATCTAAGAACCATATACCAAGAGGCATGTTATCTGTAATAAAAAAAAAAATAATTTCATATTTGCAAAGCTCAAGTTTATACAAGAACTTATCTGAGAGAAAGTGATAGCAAAAACTAATTTCTCTTTGTATCAGAACAGTGGTGTAGTTTTGTAACTTTGTTTAGTAAAAATTTACATGTAACCTTAATGCCTTTATAAAAGCTATTAGCAAGAATATGAAAAAAGTACAGTTTAGTACAGTCAGCACTTCAGCTTTTTAAAAAAAATAGAAGAATATTATATTCAATAGTGGAAAAAAAAAGAGTAAGGAAAAAGTGTCAATCAAATAAATGAATTCCTGTTCTTGTTAGTGCAGTTATTCCCCATCAGTTCTCAGTTACGCAACAGGAAAATTATAGAGGGAGTAAAATAACTTTTAATAATAACTTTAAAACAATAAAATAAGAACACAAATGGGATCTTGAGATTTGTCTTATCTACTCAAAGAAAATACCCGCCCATCTTAAAACAAAAGCAACTAGAAACCCAAAGGACAAAAAACTGCATAAGTACTGAAGAATACAAAATGCGATTGAGTTCTAATTTTAAGTTAAAAATTGTAACCTCACAAACATAGCATACATATTCATTTAGCAATATAAGAACTAACAAGAAAAATCATGAGTATTGATATGCAGTTGAGAGACAAAGCTGCAGTACTATATGAAGTACTTGTAGAAATAGACATTTATTTTCACTAGTTCCAAGAGAATCTGCAATGAAAGCTCAGTGAAAATTCTAACAAGTGGCTTTTTAAAACAAGCAATACCGTGGTAAAATGTAAACAAAACAAAAAGTGATGAAACAAGTTAACTGGCATCAGTAAGTCACAGCAGAATAACAAAGCAGAACTAAGAATTCTTACCTGCAATTCTTTGTCAGGATGTGTGGAAACAAGGCCATCTCCTTACTTCCCACAGGGAAGCCATGCAGAGGGGCCGCCACACCATACCAGGTGCCATTTTTCATAAATGAGATGGTGGCTGGTCGAGAGTCCAGGTCTAGCATGGCCCCAATCACATCACCTTGGGCAAACCGCACCCCATAATCGGAGAAACGGTTGTTTGTAGAAAACTTGCCAGTGCCACCATAACCAAAGGACCAGGGCTCCTCTCCTTGAAATCATACAAATGACAATCTACATTAAAGATTTGTGAAAATAAAAATTTAAAAAAAGATCTGTGAAAAAGATCAATTGCTGAGGTCAAAATAGTTCATGTCTAAAACAAAAAAAAGTAAAATACCTGCCAAAAAACTTCAGACATAGAAAGGATGTCAAAACCCCATTTGAAAATTTCGGTTAAAAAAAAACAAACTCCCCACAACCATGTCCACACGCGTGAAATTTTAATAAAAGATGAACAAAAAATAATCTATATTACTGAAAAAAGCTTTCAAATACCACAACACTTTAAAATAAAAAATGGTTAACTCATAGCAACATGTAATATATGATATACTTAAGGGCGGCAGCTGAATGTTATCTCGCTTATTAGTGGATAAAATGTTACCAAATTTTACACATATAATAGCAATGACAACGAAAAACATTTTTTGCCAGAAAGTGTTTGCAAATAGGTGCATTTTGTAGCTGTATCTTCACAGAGCATGGAATTTTTTGGATTTTTGAAATCCATCAATAAACAAAAAAGTTATGAATTTTTTAATTAATTAATTTTTGGTAACTTTTATATAATGAAAAAACACCAAAACATGGGATGTTCTTTGGTGAGTTTTGAGACAATATTCGTCATAACTCGCTCATTTCTCTGAGTATTTAAAAGAAACTTGGCAACCCAGTACATTTTCTAGTGCAGAATCTAGTTCTGCTTTCAGATTTTTCATTGCTATCTTACTTTTTGAGTTATGAAGACGTTTATAGGTAAAAATGTGGCGTTTTCGGTGCGTTTTGAGACACTATTTGTCATAGCTCGCCTATTTCTTGGAATATGTAAATGAAACATGGCAGTCTAATACATTTTTTAATACAGAATCTAGATCTAGTCATGCTGTCAGATTTTTCATAACTGTCATACTTTTTGAGTTGTAAAGACATTAACAGGTAAAAAAGTGGCGTTCTTTACAGATTTACAAAGATTATCAGTCATATGTTCTCCCAAAGTCATGATATTTGAATGAAACTTGGAAACATAAAAGATTCCTCCTTGCCAAGCAATTCTCTGGATCAATTTGTCACAAATATGTAAGTAGAGAGCTGGATTTATTAGTCTAATAAATCCAGTTCTCTACTAGTAAAAGCATGCATACTTTGTTATAGAAAATAAGATCGTCTCTGTGTATATCCATTGTTGGACAGTGTCCTATTGTGTGGTAGACTAAGATGCGTTCAGATAATATAGTTTACAAGTCATGGGAATATTTTGCATGTGCAGGCTACAACTCACACAATAAATGTAACATATTTACACCCCCCCCCCCTCACTCTCTCTCACGCACACACACATGCACGCGCGCGCACTCACGTACGCACGCGTGAACGATAACAATTGTATAAACGGGACTATCTTCCCAGACTGGACTAAATAAGTACCATACTCTTTTAAAAACAATCTTAATGCCTCACTTTTCCAAACAGAGCACACAGGACGAGTCCAAGTGTGTGCTTTCCCAAGAGGGGGGAATAGGCTATCATAACGCAAACACAATGCCATACCACTTCTCAAGATATTTGCTTTTCTGTTTCTATTCTTCTGTCATGCAATCAAGCAAATAAAAATGACTACATCTATTGTATTGTGACTAAAATGCAACAAAAACGCAAGTTATCAAGGCCCCTGTTTAGTTTTCAAGTATCCCCCCCCCCCCTTTCCGGTTCACATAAGCGGACCCTCGTTTGTAGTGCCCGAGGCGACCGATGGCTGATGACGTCACTCAGGGGAAATTTCCCAGCCGCCGGTCGTTCACCCAGCACGCGCAAATGGCAATGCCGCTTTTTCCTTTAGTTACTCCCACATTTTTAAAGATTACGCGAAAACCGCTTAACACAGAAACATGAAATTTTCAGGGAATAAACAAATATGGTGTAAAACGTATCAGTCAGTTTGACAAATCACAGCTCCGAAAAATCTTCAAAGCGCACCACATCAACCACTTTCGCAAACGTTTTCGACTACTTCTTGGATGGGTACAAAGTTGTCAAACTGCATACTACGAGATTGACATCTTTTCTGATTGGCTGCCAAGTTTCATTCATATCCATTCACGAGAAGCAGCGTGAGAGTGAGTTGAAGACAACAACCTTTGCGTTAGTGTGTCCCACGAAACACCCTCGCTGCGGGGGCCAAAAATCGGCAGAACAAAACGCGCTCGGTGGGCATTGCTACATATAACAAGCATAGATCTAGTAGGGAGTCTTAAAATCCGCGATCAAGTATGAGAAAAAATTGATTCCATAGATACGGCGGCCATATTGGATTTTGTTGGCAAGTCTCACGTAATTAGTCGAACCTGTTTAAGGCGGCCACCCATTGTCAAGGAGAAAAGTGGCCGTATAAGCCAGGTGGCCATCTTAGGCAGGACTGATCAAGATGGAGAAAACAAACCCTTCCTTTCTGAGGTCGCCGCATTGTTGTTGTTGTTATTGTTGTTGTCGCTGTTTTTTTTTTTCTTCTTCTTTTTTTATTTTGTTGCTGCTTTTGTGCAAGGGTGACAATAAAAGGAAATGTGTCAGACAAGGAGGATTGAGTGCGGTGGTATAACAAACACATGGGTCGCCACCACTCGGAGAACGAGCCATGCTTCTGTCACAAGTTCATGTTGACGTCCATAGTTACTTTGTTACAGACTTGGTAAACAAAAGAGAGACCACTCATTTCACTTACAATGTGTGAATGAGTTCTGGGCAGGGCTTATGGGTTATGAGGGATCACACACTTACCTCACCAGCAGTTGAAAATTTGTTACCTATTGGTCAACAGTGGGAGGGGCCTACGCAACATGATCGGTAGGAGGGATTACCTAATAACAACGACAGGTGATTAGATTATGATGGCTCGTCCACAAAGCCAGGGGCCAAAGCACAATTTATGACAAAACGTAATGGAGTCACTAAGGTGGCCGTCTAAGACATGGGTTATTGTTTGGTGTGATAGAGGATGTGTGTTAAAATATGGTGACCGCGGCCGCATTAGACAGGTGCCTGTTTTACACAGTTAAATTATATAGAAAAAACGCAAGGGGGGAAATAGAAACTGGCCGGTTGTACAGGTGGCCGTCTTAGAGAGGTGGCCATCATTGCAGGTTCGACTATTACACCACACATCTCGGCAAACAATAGATCTACAAATCTGTGAGATGAATTTTTCTAAACCTACTTTAACATTATTTTTTTTCCTGAGGTAGTATTCACGTTGACTAAAAATTTATGAAAATCCACACTCCAAACACTACCAACAAAAAACTATTCCACATATATAAAAAAATTCATCACACAAATTTTTTGTTTTACATCTTTTCTTAATTTTGTGAAAATTTCATGAAGATTGCATGAAAAATGGTGGAGTTATTTTAAAAAGTATATATAGAAAAACCACGTTTCGAGAAAACGGGCGATAAAGAAAAATAAAAGATTGACTTTGAGGAAATGGTGGTGACAAACATGCCCTGTAAGAGAAGAAATAAGGCTTTAGGGGGTTCTTATGCGATGAAATAGTCGTACGAGGCTGAAAAAACTAAAAAT